TCCTGATCCCACCTGGATCCTCCTCAGCTTCCCATGGATCCTCCTGATCCCACCTGGATCTTCCCAATCTCCTCATCCCACCTGGATCCTCCTCATCTTTCCATGGATCCTCCTGATCACACCTGGATCTTCCCAATCTCCTGATCCCACCATGATCTTTCCATCCTCCTCATCCCATCTGGGTGTTTCCAATCTTCTAATCCATTGGGATCTTCCCACCCTTCTCAGCCTTTCCCTCCTCCTCATCCCATTCGGAATTTTTTCTCCAATCTCCTGATCCCACCAGGGCTTTTCCATCCTCCCCATCCCACCCGGATCTTTCCTCCCACCTCATCCCACTGAGATCTTTACACTCTCCTCAATCCAACAGGATCTTCCCAATCTCCTCAGCTTTTCCACTCTCCCCACCCCACCAGGATCTTCCCAATTTCCCCATCCCATCCAGATCTTTCCAATCTCCCCACCCCACCAGGACTTGTCCAATCTCTTCATCTCACCTGGATCTTTCCACTCTCCTTAACTTTTCCATCCTCCCCATCCCACTGGGATCCTTCCAACCTCCTCATCCCACCGGGATCTTTCCAATCTCCACATTCCATTAGGATCTTGCCATCCTCTTCATCCTTTTCCATCCTTCTCATCCCACCTGGATCTTTCCATCCTCCCCCATCCCGTCCGAATCTTTCCATCCTCCTGATCCCACCGGGATCTTCCCAACTTTCTCATCCCACCTGGATCTTTCCATCCTCCCCCATCCCATCCGGATCTTTCCATCCTCCTGATTCCACCGGGATCTTCCCAACTTTCTCATCCCACCTGGATCTTTCCATCCTCCCCCATCCCGTCCGGATCTTTCCATCCTCCTGATCCCACCGGGATCTTCCCAACTTTCTCATCCCACCTGGATCTTTCCCTTCTCCTTGTCTTTCCCACCCTCCCCATCCCACCAGGATCTTCCCGACCTCCTGATCCCACCTGGATCTTTCCAACCTCCCTATCCCATGAGGATCTCCCCACACTCCAGCTTTTCCAATCTCCTTATCCCACCTGGATCTTCCCAATCCCCTCATCCCACCTGGATCTTTCCAACTTTCTCATCCCACCTGGATCTTCCCAATCCCCTCATCCCACCTGGATCTTTCCCTTCTCCTTATCTTTTCCACCCTCCTCATCCCACCAGGATCCTTCCAATCTCCTGATCCCACTGGAGCTTTTCCACCTTCCCCATCCCGTCTGGATCTTCCGACCCTCCTGATCCCAGCGGGATCTCCACATGGAATTCCGGTTTCTCTCCCACCTTTTCCTTCTCCACCAGGGAGGGGATGAAGCTCCGTTTGTCCGCGGGCCGGTTGGTCACCGGGTGGATCCGCACCTCGTGGGTGAAGAAATCCACGGACGGCTGGAAAAACGGGAATGCTCAGACCCCTTCCAGCATTCCCACTGGGAATTCCAGCCCTTGGGGCCTCCCCTTGGGCATTCCCGGCGGGAATTCCAGCCCTGGGGCCTCCCTTTCCACATTCCCAATGGAAATTCCACCCTTGGGGCCTCCCTTCCCACATTCCCAGAGGGGATTCCAGCCCTGGGGCCTCCCCTCCCACATTCCCAGTGGAAATTCCATCACTGCGGCCTCACCCCACCACATTCCCAGCAGGAATTTCGCCCTTGGAACTTCCCCTTTCAGCATTCCCAAAATGGGAATTCTGCCACTAGGGCCTCACCTCCTACATTCCCAGTGGGAATTCCGGCCCTGGGGCCTCCCCTTGGGCATTCCTAATGGGAGTTCCATCAACGGGGCCTCACCCCCCACATTCCCAGTGGGAATTCCGCCCTCGGCACTTCCCCTTTGAGTATTCCTGGTGGGAATTCCATGGGCCCCTGGGGTCTCCCCTCGGGCATTCCCGGCGGGAATTCCACCGGTCTCAAGCCCTCCCCTTTCAGCATTCCCTTTGGGAATTCCAGCCCTGGCAGGAATCCCGCCCCATTCCCTTTGGGAATTCCAGCCCCATTCCCTTTGGGAATTCCAGCCCTGGCAGGAATCCCGCCCCATTCCCATGGGAATCCTGCCCCATTCCCTTTGGGAATTCC